CAGGAGGTGAAAAGCAGGTATAATTCAAAGGGAGGAGTTATGAAAAGCTGTATAGATGTCTACTATCATGCATCCCAAATCAAAGAAAATATAAGTTAGAGGATAGTAGAACACATGTGCAAAGAAGAGAGGGGGAAGAATGATGAGGACTAAGCATGGATGGCACAGTGGGAGAGGGGAGAGGAGGGGCTGGGAGATGGATTAGCCAAAACTAAGGATGCATGAAAAAGGCCCTAAGGAAACAAACTATTTAGTAAGCTAACTTCAAAATACAACCTAAAGCAGAATTTCAACAAAATTATCCTGCATGTGTGGCCAATGTTGACTACCCAGACTTCCTTTGGTCTGATAAGCATATGTGGTTGAGAAGAGTGAAGGCAGCCCCTCCCCCTCTTTCTGCCACACATCCTTCAGGACCACAAAGATTGCCTTCCAGGAGAAGGCTATGAAGACATAAGCCTGAAAATAAACCTGGACATGTTGCCCCTGCTTCTTCCATCAGAAAAACCTAAGGCTAGCAATCTGCTAACAGAGGGCAGGAACTATGGGCTTCGTTCACCTACTGCTGCTCCTATAGAAAGCAAACAAATGACTCATTCAGGAAGAATGCACTATTTATTGAGACATACCAGATGACTGGCAGTTTTGTAAGAAGTAAGTAATGTGCTCTCTTCATAAATAAACATTCCCTTTCTTTCCAGATTGCTCCTTGCTGTCTTCCTTGTGATCTAGGAAGTTCTGTGCTCCTCCTTGCCTGGGCAGTACCAGGCATGAGGCAGTAGAACTCAGCTGTGGGGTAACCCCTTTCCCAGTTCTGCTACTGTAGAAAAGGGATTGCTCCTTCCTAAGCAATATCGCACCTAAGTTGGTTTCAGGTCATTAAAAACTGCAGTACTTCCAAATAAAAAATAATAGCTTTCTCCAGCTTTGCCCAGACACTAAGATCCTTGACTTTAGCAGCAATCAGCTATTGGTCCATTATGGCATACTGTCTGGAAATGGAGCCAGAGTCACCAAAGAGCAACTGGAAATTTGAAGTGTGATTGTCCTTCTGAGGTTAGAGGCAGCTCCAGAAGAAGCCCCTTGGTAGGCATCTCTCAGCCTCTACAGGGCAATCTGCAGTGCACAAGAGCAAGCAGGTTCTTTCTGACTGGTGTTTGGAGAGGCTGTTCTCAGAACAGACATTAGACTGCAGCCCAGGTCTTCCTATTTGTCAATTTTCCTCATGGTGTATGGATTTAGAGCATGGACTGTACTTAGCGCATAACCATATGAAGTCTGGTCTACTGTAGCCTCGTGACCCATAACGTTGTTACCAAGCATGCAATCTTCATGCAGGTAGGGATGGCACCACCGATGAAGACAGAAAGCTTTTCCGTCCAGACCTTGCTTACAAACAGACGGAGGGGAGAGATCTGCTAGGGAATTTGAGCTCTTTTTCCAACTTAGAAAAAAAAATAGCATTCTTCATTTTCTGGCAATACTATAAACTCACTTTTATGACACTGTCTATGAAAGCCTGCATGCTTGTTCTGACAGACAATCCCCCCTTGGAGATTCAAATGCGGGAGCTGGGGGAGTGTTGTGACCCTAATGCCAGATTAGGGTTTATAAGATGATGTCAGAGTGTAATATAGATTAAAAAAGAATGAGGTATCATGAAGCAATGGGCTCCGATGAGGACCCTTTATTTGCATCCTTTACTGTTTGTTTTTATTTTATACTGCTTTACTCATGAGCAAACTATGAGCAATGGACTCGGGCTGACTAAGACTGAGGGGAGGCATCTCCCCAATGACCCATCTCCAGATTTGTCACCTCCCAGAGGTTTTCAGTGATATGTGTTGGCTTTCCCAACACCAAAGCAGGAAAGGGGCTGGCACATGTCTGGAGCCAGACTCTGCTTGAATTTATCTGGATTTATTCAGCAGAGTAGAAAGGTACATAGAATGATATTAATTATACACCTTGCTTTAGGAGATCTATTCATGGTTCTTGTTTATAATTGAATCATTTACTATTTATTATTCTGTGACATGAAAATATAAAAAAATAAAACCACTGCTATCCAACAGCTAACAGTGACCCTGACTTACTCCAACAATAAGTAACAACTTCTCTCTTACTTGCTTCCCATGTCTCCCATCTGCAGCAATTGCCATGGTGACTCTTGTATTTTATCACTACTTGGATGTGTATCTCAGAGTGCTTCATACATTTTTTAAAAGGGGTGATGATGCAAGTTATTTTCTATTAGTTGGCCCATATGAAATTGCCTATAATGCATTTTTGTTCGATATTATTCTGCTAAGATTCATCTACACCCTTCAAGGCAGCTGTAGCTCATCCATTTTATTGTGGATGTTTTTCTCCATCTTATTGGCTGTTTGGATTGTTTCCAGAGTTTGGGCTCTATAACCAGTGTTACCATGGCCTTCCCTGTCTCCAGGAGTTCGTGTGGACATTTATTTTCGGTGGATACCCAGGAGAGGAATTGCTGGGCCACAGGATACATGACATCTCATTCTATAACGGGATGGCAACCCTTTTCCAAAGGGCTGTACTGAGTGCAATCCCCCAACAGTTAAGCACCTGTTACTCTTCATCTTCTCTCGCACCTCTCATTTTGTACCAGGCTAATTGGTATAAAATGATATATCTTTATGATCTTAATTTGCATTTCATGAAACACTAACGACTTTAAGCATCTCTTCCTGTGATTATTGGCCATATATGTTGCCGCTCTGTGAATGCCTGTGTAAGACTTTGGACCATTTTTCACTACATTGATTGAGCTTTCCTTTTTGATTTGCAGAAGTCCATCATACATTACTGATGTTCATCATATCTGGGCATACATGTCGTCACTACTTCATCTTTAAAATGTCTCCTGATAAATAACTACCTTTTATTTCCTAAGAAGTAGTGTTTGTAGTGCTATTTCACTAAGTCTTTCTAAGACTCTCTGTGGATAGAGAATCAACTCTTTCCAAGATACAGAGACCAAAAGAAGGAACTCCAAGATCCTCGCTCAGGCCTCACATTCGAACAAAGGCAGCTAGTCAACCTTGTGTCCATTATTTCCAAGTGAAATAACCTGTCACCACAATACTGGAGAACCCAGAAGCTCAAGGCTGGAGCATCAAGTATAGCGCAGTATAAATTAAGAAGGCCTAATCTAGTAAGCATGATAATAGCACAGTTATGTAATATTTTATTATTCTGGTTAAATATAAAGACTTCAAAAACTACCATATATGTTACAGTCTTAAGTCCTTGCAAATAGGTGTGTAAGAATGTGTTCCCAGTTAGGATCCACCACACATTGAGATAATGAAACAGAAACCACCTTCTGCCAGAGCATACCAAGCTTCCCCACAGAGCGGAGGCCTCTCCTTTTTGATGTCCTAGGATTCTTCTGGGATGGAGCTGGAAGGTTTGAGGGTGGGCTATTCTCATGAAGAGCATAGTAATGTGACTTGGTGGCCACAGAAATGTGCCCAAGTTGAGTTCATATCCTTGGCACAATGCAGAAAGGCCGGACAGTTACTGAAGGACCAAGGTGAGGATTAAAGGAGCACATGATTTTGTGTGTTTGTGTGTGTGTTGGAGTGATGGTGGAATTCCTCAGGTAGGGAGAGGAGAGCGAGAAGGAAGAATAAGAGGTCCTGGTGAGGTTGCTGGGCAGAAAGACTGGAGTGTGGTCCTGGTGTCACTCATAGTTTAGATACCCCTCATAGTGACCTTAGGGACATGGCTGCCCATGCTAGGATTTCTGGACAGAAGGATGCCAATGGCACCAGCAGCATCACAAGACACCTGCATTTATCCCACCACTTTCCTCCCCATCAAGCTTTAAAAAACCACAGAACAGTGTATGGCAATGGATTTCAATTTTTAGTCTGGATCCCGATTAGACAAGGAGTCTGGACCTAACTGTAAGTGAGACTCTGTGTCTCTGAGATTCATCTGTTTGATGATATAGCAACTCTCAGTGCAGGTTACTGTAGGAACCAGGCTAAATAAAGGAGCAATGTCTACCAAGGTACTCAGGACAGTAACTGTCCTCATTAGATTTTACCGTTAGCTTGTCACAACCTAGTGTTATCTGGGAAGAGGGAACCTCAATTGAAGAATTGACCCCAACATATTGGCCTGTGAGGACATTTTCTTGGTTGGTAATTTAAATAGGAGGGTCCAGCCCACTGTGGATGGTGCCATCCCTAGGGAGGTGGGTCTGGGTTATATAATAAAACCGGCTGAGCATTTCAGGGAAAGCAAGCCAATAAGCAGCATTTCTCCATAGTTTCCACTTTCTCGTTCCTGCCTGCCTTCCCTCAAAGATGGACTGTAACCTGGAAACCTGAGATTGGAAAAAATAACCCTTCCTTTCCAAGTTGCTTTTGGCCATGGTGTTTATCACAACAAGAGAAGAGAACTAGCAGAGAATGATGGGTCCTATCTGACCTTCCGCTCTGGCTCTGGCCTCTTCCCTCTCCAGTACAGGCTCCATCCCAGAACCACTGTCCTTCCTTCCCACCATCCCCCAAACATATCTCTTCTCCATAGCACAGCCCAAAGATGTTCGCAGATCATCTTCCCCCACATGTGCTCTTCCCTAGGCTAGTATCCTGGTTGACCCGCCATGAGGACACCTGTCCTGAAGGTGCTCCTTGCTCCCTTGGGCTCTGCTTGTACCACGTGCTTTCCCCTGTCAGGGGAGGCTCCAGAGTACCACAAGATGAACAGCATATGTGGAGAGAAGCACGGGCTGTTTGAACCTGTCTGCTCTACCCTGACCAGCTTTCCTGCAGAAACTTAGATGGTATTTGCTCCACAGTCCCTCTGCTTTGACAGCTAAGAATGGGTATCAACATGACCAGTAAGAAGATAGATTTCCTACAAGCAGAAGCTTCTGGGAAGATGTCTCTGGTCTAAAGGATGACAAAATCCATGGCCCCTATCCCAGCACACATACCCTGATGCCGATTCTTGCCTACCTTCCTGATGCCTTCTGAAGGATTGGAGACACAGTTGTCAGCGCCTCCATTCTTGCTTATGGTCCGCCAGAGCTCAGCAAAAGTGCTATCCTGCTCCAGGGGATTGGTACCCTTGGCTCTGAAGTACTCATAGACAGCAGAATCCCGGACAGTGCCATACGACATCTCCAGTTGCTTGGACAGGTCCTGAAATGTCCTGAAAGGCAGAAAGGGAGTGACACATTGATACTTGCTTCATACTACACACCATAAGGAAAAAATGGGCCGCAAGCCCCTCCTGAGTTCTAAGCCCTGCACTGACCCATTAGCCACAGTTCTCATATCCAGCATCCAAATGTCTCAGTCCCTCAGCCTGGAGCCAGGCCTCCACATGCCACAGCCACGTTTCCTCACTAAGATCACCAGGCATTTAAAACCGGGTTACAGGTTGAGCTCAAGGTATAAAACGTAAGTAAGAAATGATTCCTGCCATCAGCAAGCTTTGAGTCTAGCTATAAAAATATATATCTATATCAAGGCATAAATTCACAGTATAATAGAGTCAGGGTGACACAAAACACCAGTTACTGAGGGTTTCTCCCCTGAGTGTCCAAACACCAGTTACTGAGGGTTTCTCCCCTGAGTGTCCAAAAGCTGAGCAGGTAAGATGGATGATGGGGATGGCTAGCCCTGACACTTGGGGTTACTGTGTCACAAACACTATGATGCTGAATCAATTAAGAGGTTCCCCTCTAAAACTTGCAGATATGCTAGAGTTCCAGCCAATTAATAATGATGCTTAGCACCTAGCAACCAATTTGATTATTAAGAAAGTAATGAATCATGGATTTTTACATGGATCTCCTGATATTTTTTTTTTAAGTGTTGAAAGGTATTTAGAAGATACTGATAGAATCCCTCTTCTCTCTCTTTGACTGGACTCCTGGAGTTCAGCCTGGTATTTGGCTGTGGATCTCTGCATCTGCTTCCATCAGTTATTGGATGAAGGCTCTATGATAACAGTTAGGGTATTCACCGATCTGATTACTGGGGTAAGCCAGTTCAGGTACCCTCTCCACTATTGCTAGTAGTCTAAGCTGGGGTCATCCTTGTGGATTCCTGGGAACTTCCCTAACACCCGGTTTCTCCCTATCCCCATGATGTCTCCTCTATCATGGTATCTCTTTCATTGTTCTCCCACTCCATCCCTGTTCCAGCTCAACCATCCCATTCCCTTATGTTCTCATCTATGAGCAAAGGGCATCAAGATCATGATGGAGAAACCTACAGAGACAACCAAACCAAACTAGTGGGAACTCATGAAATTTAGACCAACACCTGTGGAGCCTCCACGGGACTGGACTAGGCCCTCTGAATAAGCAAGACAGTTGTGTAGTTTGATATGCTTTGGGGGGGGGGCTGGCAGTAGGATCAGGATCCAACCCTGGTGCATGATCTGGCTTTTTGGAGCCCACTACCTATGGTGGGACACCTAGCACAGCCTTGAGGTAGGGGGAGAGGCTCAGACCTGCCTCTACTGAATGTACC